GAGTGGGGAGCAGAACAGGCAGATCGACGAAGTACACTGCTGAGGGGAGCAGCGGGCGGGTCAGGAGAGGTCTGCCACGCCATGTGGACTCCTCCCGGGCAGGCGGGAATCCAACTCATGCGGAAGTGGCTCTAGCTTCTCAGTGCTGTGCTTTAACCCGCTGCGCCACCAGGGAGGGCCCCATTCTGCCTTTTAAGGCCTACGTGTTGGCCTGGACGTTGCAGGTAGAGCCGTGAGACCCCTACGCCCTTACAAAGCAGGGGCACCAGCTTTGTTTGGGGGCCTTTATAGGCAGGAGAGACAAACTGGGGACCAAAATGTGAACAAATTGGGAACCGAAAGCCACCAAGGCCCAGACTACCGAAGCCCTGATGGCAGGAGCCAGGTGCTGGCTGACTTCTCGGGGGGCCCCCGGCCCTCCCCTCTGGAACAAGACCATCTGGAGTCCCCACCTGATGACTTGGAAGAAACGTGATCCAGGCAAATTGCTTCCCTTCCCAGAGCTGGCATTCACCCCTGTGCGAAAGGGACGCCAGATGGGGTGCCAAGAAAACGAGCCCCGAGAGGACCTGTCCCCGGGACCCCTAAGCTCTTCATTCCTGGGAGAGAGCACAGGTGTGAGAGCAGCAGCACACACCTGGCACTTGGGTCGGTTTCAGAGCGAGCAGGAAGGGTACAGTGAATGTACCCTGCTCCTCCCCTTGCACCCTCTGCACTGTTCTCTTGCCGGCTACCACCACGGCTTTCCCATCCGAGGCTGCACCCACACTTTCACTGGGGACAGGGTCCCCGCCCTCTGCCCTCTTGCAGCCAGACCTGTGGTTCTCAGCTACCTGGGTTTGCACAGTGAGCAAAATGACATCAGCAGTGGAAAGGGCTGGCAAGCGTGGAAGTTCTAGAACCAGCCAGACATGCAAGCAGGCGCCCACGTGGAGAGAATTCTGTGTATAAAAAAACCATTATGCCGGCCCTCCCTGGTGGTGCAGCAGGTTAAAGCACAGCACTGAGAAGCTAAAGCCACTTCCTATGAGTTTGATCCCCGCCTGCCCCGGAGGTGACCACATGGCGCGGCAGACCTCTCCTGACCCGCCCGCTGCTCCCCTCAGCAGTGTACTTCGTCGATCTGCCTGTTCTGCTCCCCACTCTGTCTCTGGTGAAGCCTCTCACCCTCCGCATCTCTGGCCTGCACCCCAGTTCTGTATGTATAAATAAATAAATCTTAAAAAACAACAACAACAACAACATTATGCCATCATGAAACGACAAGAAAAACACCAGCTACGTCCATTTCTGTGTGTGATTCTGACCTACCCTTTGGTGGTCTGAATTTTGTGGCCAGGTCATGTATGTGTCAGGTTTGTCTAGATCATGCAGACAAAAACTGCCTGCACCTTATAGAACCACAGAACACTGCTTGCCCACCCGCCGCGACTGACAGAGCTGCGGGTCCTGTCAGAGCCTCCGTCCCGGCCCTTCGCCTCCCCGGCTGGAACCATCACCCAGTGATCTGTCTCCGTTTCCTTTCCTGTTCAAAAATAGCTTTATCACAGTTGCGCCAGCCCCTAAGCAACATATTCTTGGGTTTTGCTCCATTTGGAAAGTTCTAGATGCTCATGCAAGTCACACTCAGTCTGTGACCTGCCTTGTCCCCTTGCTGTGTCTGAGGTTTATCGCTGCTGCTTCCAGCTGGGGCCTTGCTTTGTAGCAGCTTAACGTGTGAGAAGCTGTGGCCTACTCTCCTGCGGTTGGCTTTTCTTCTTGGTATGATGGTGACTCCTCCTGGGGCAGGGCTGTATGCTCCGCCTCCCTCGTTTGCTAGATTGACGCCAGAACACTGGCTGCTGCTGTCACCTTCCTGTTTCTGGCCCCCCTTGGCCCGCTGGGCTCCAGCACCCCGCCCCTGCACAAGACCCCTGAGGGTCA